GTTGAAACAGAACAGTACTACAGTTTCTTTCTGGTAGAACTGAAAGGACGTGGCTATAATGGATTCTTTAGCCCTAAATCGAGAGCTCGGACAATGTCAGAACAAGAAAGAAAGCATGTTGATGGCTGTGCGATATTCTTCAAGACAGAGAAGTAGGTCATCGTCTTTTAAAAAAAGAAATGTTCTCTCTTTGCAGGGTGGGGACCAAGAGGATGGAAATATTTGGCAAATGAGAGAATGAGGCATTCTGTTATTACTTACGAAAACGGTACTTTTTACTTTAGAGGGTTTTATTTTGAATCATTAGAAATAATCTTGTTTTGGAGACATGTTGAAAGTGCTGCTGTTTCTTCAGGTGTTTAGTAGGGTTTAACTCCAATTGTTCATTGAAACACCTTGCATTTAATATTCCCTGCAGGATTCTTAAACCCATAATTTGGAAAACAATATTTAAAAATTACAAGATGAAATATTCCAACACAAAACCTAAACAGAAGATGACTACATTATCCTAAGTTGTAAAGGTTAAAATCAAGATGTTATCAGTAACAGACTGAGAACAACTTTAAATGGGTGTGGGAAGCTTGGTGTTAAATGTGGAGGATTTTCCATAATGTGATTCACATGCCATTATATCTAAGGAAGTTTGAAAAAAAAACAGCATTTCCCACAAAGCTAATATCCTTATATTCCCAATTTTATGTGTGTTTGTGTGTTTGTTTTTGTTTTAGATTTACTTTGGTTCAGAAACACACTGTTGAATTTAATCAGCTAGCAATGGCAAATTCAGAAGGGTCTGAAGCTATGCTGAACAGAGTTATGACAAAAGATAACATTGGAGTTGCAGTACTACTAGAACTTCGAAAGGAATTGATTGAAAAGTCATGTGAGTGATCTCTTCACTTCCTGTAAAATTGACCTCCAAAATTTAATAGGAAAAAAGAATTCATTATGTAATAATAGTCTTGTTTAACACCTGAAGAAACTCAGTGAGAATTTAAATCTTTTCTAAACTATCATATCTCATTTTCTCTACCAAAAAGCTAAGGTGAGAGAGCATTGCCAAGCAAAGTATTTCAAACCTTGAAATGCATAAAGCTCCCAAGAACTTTTCACATAAAAAAAAGGTTGAAGTAATAATTAGTTAAAATAACTCCTCAGAGAGAACTCCATGCACTTCTGTAATTTCTTGGCAGCAAGGATATTCTGTAAGCAAACTTCTCTTCCTGACCCACTTGTAGTCATTTTAAAGGTCTCAAATTTTGGAGAAATCAACCACTTAATTCAAGTTAAATAAGAGTGGCATTCATGCTGAGAACTGAAATTTCTGTCATAGGAACAGTTGGAACTGGGGTTATTTAGCCTGAAGGATAGAAAGATGGAACTTAGTGACCATCATAAATACAGCTAAGGAAAAGAGTAGATTTAATTTTGTGAGGCTTGATTTAGTACATCTGAATTAAGACCAGAAGTTTCAAGGAGACAAAACTATTTAAAAACCAAGCTGATCCAAATAAAATGGGCTGTTTTTGATCAAGTAATGAATACCCTAAGTTACAAGTACACAACCTGACGTTTAAATGACTATTTCTCAGGTTTGTTGTAGGCTAGATTAAGTCATTTTGTGAGAGATTATTAGGTCAGTTTTAGTTATTTATTTTTTTAAAATATATTTTATTGATTTTTTTACAGAGAGGAAGAGAGAGGGACAGAGAGCCAGAATTTTATTCCTAAGACTCTGAGATATTCTTGCTTTTAGGCTCTGTAAGAATATGTGGGTTAATAGAGGGTTTCTGTCTGTTTTCTTTTTAGCTAATACAGCAGGAAAGCCACATCTTGGGACAGAAAAACAACTTATTCTCGTGGCTAATGCTCATATGCACTGGGACCCTGAGTACTCTGATGTGAAGTTAGTTCAAACGATGATGTTTCTCTCAGAAGTGAAGAACATTATTGATGAAGCCTCACGAAGCCTCCACTCGAGCGCATTGGGAGAATTGGGAAATATTCCACTGGTGTTGTGTGCAGATCTTAATTCTTTGCCAGACTCTGGTAAGAAAAGAATGTCAGTCTATGTAGAATGCTTTTTGACTTCAATGTTTTTGTAATATATTGTTTCTGATATTCCATATTTAGCAAAAACAAATTCAGTTTGTAGTGGCAGCTGTGAATCAAGTTTAAAAATTTTTTTGGAGTAGGGGGATCATTTTGAAAATGAAATAGTAATAGGAAACCTGAGGAGGAAGGACATTAATCATCTTTGAGAAACACATAGGTAATAACTTGGAATAACTCATTAAAGAACATGTCATTTTGTTTTATTATCCCCAGGATATACAGGTGTTGTTGGCAAAAGTGGGTTTACAGTTGTTTGTATGGAAAATAATACAATAATAAGTAATACGAGATTAAGCTCTGTTTTGTGTACTCACAATTGTAAGCCTACTTTTGCCTACCCCTGTATATAATCCAGACTGAAGGGGTTTTAAGACAGCCTCTTTGGAATTCCAACATGTAATATGATGCAGTTTAAATTTGACCATATATTACAGGATCTCAAATTTTGGTAGGCTTGATTAGAAAAATCCACTTGGGGTGGGAATTGAAATTCCTCATTTACATAGATCAGGCAAGTGATTTTAACAACAAAGAATAGGGATTTTTATTTTTATCACAAAGTAGAAGAATACAGAAAGCCATATTCTTGAAAACTTTTCCATAGATGGTACAGTGAATAAACCATCCTATATAATAAAAGGCTAATATGCAAATAGACCAAACAACAGAACAACCGGTCGCTATGATGTGGACTGTCCACCGGGGCCAGACGCTCAACACAGGAGCTGTCTCCTGGTGGTTAGTGCACTCCCACAGGGGGAGTGCTGCTCAGCCAGAAGCCAAGCCAGGCTTACAGCTGGCGAGCACAGTGGTGAGGAGCCTCTCTTGCCTCCGCGGCAGCACTAAAGATGCCCAACTGCCAGCTTAGGCCCGCTCCCACCGCTTAGGCGGACATCCCCCAAGGGGTCCCAAACTGCAAAAGGGTACAGGCCGGGCTGAGGGACTCCACTCTCCCACCCCCAACTCACAAATTTCATGCACCGGGCCTCTAGTAACCCTTATAATATCAAATCTAACTACAGTCAAACCTCATTTCTTAAACATCTCCCCATCTCCACCAAATTGTTCACAGAAAAAATGTTTCCATTGTCGGATTTTAGACCTGGTAACCCTTTCATGCTGAATGGGTTAATGGTTAAAGCATTCTCTCCAGCATGACAAAAAGGAGAGAGATTGCTTTAAAACATAAAGAGGGCATCAAAAGTGCTCATGTTGCTAAGGGTGTGAAAGAAGCAGTGATCACACGCCATTGAAGAGATGGAAATCCTGTTGCAGTCAGTGACAGCCTTTTGCAGGCAGCGCTGTATGAACAAGCGAAGGTGCTTTATGCTGATCTATCAAAAGACACCCCGGAACGAGCGCCGGAAGTGATTCCATTACGGCTAGTGGTGGGTGGTTTGATAAATTTAAGAAAAGAAGTGTTTGTTTATAGATTAGACATGTACTGTATATAAGAAAGCTTAAAATGGAATCATTTCAGAGTCTGGAACAGATTCGTTCAATTTACATTATTTCTAATGGGAAAAAGTGATTCCGTTTTCGAACAGATCACTTCTCGAACAGCCTTTTGGAACGAAGTAAGTTCGAGAACCAATGTATTTCCTTTTTTTGTGTTTCAACTCCTTCTGTCTAAGATTCATAATTATTTAGTCTATCTCATCAAGCTATCTGGGGATTACTAGGACTGAAGCAGTTGAGGATTATCCCTTGGCAATTTCTCTAACATGCCTACCACCCTGTTTAGCTACAAAGTATCCTAGGGGTAAAGAGAGACTTGCCAAATCATACAGATTTAAAAATCCATTTCAGTGTTAAAAAACAGTATTTTTCCAATTGAAAAATGGGCAAAGGACCCAAATAGACACTTCTCCAAGAAGGATATACAAATGGCCAATAGACATATGAAAAAATGTTCAAGGTCACTAATCATCAGAAAGATGGAAATTAAAACTACAATGCAGCATCGCCTCACACCTGCCAGAATGGCTCCTATCAAGAAATCAACAAACAGCAAGTGTTGGTGAGCATGTGGAGAAAAGGGAACCCAAGTACACTGCTCGTGGGAATGCAGACTGGTGCAGCCACTGTGGCAAATAGTCTGGAGTTCCTCAGAAAATTAAAAATGGAGCTGCCCTTTGACCCAGCCATCCCACTTCTAGGAATATATCCTAAGAAACCCAAAACCCCAACCTGACATATATGCACCCCTATGTTTATAGCAGTGTTCTTTATAATAGCCAAGATCTGGAAACAACCCAAGTTCCCATCAGTAGGTGAATGGCTAAACAGCTGTGGTACATTTACACTACGGAATGCCATGTGGCTGTAAAAAAAAGAAGAAACTCGTAACAGTGTGACAGCATGATTGAAACTGGAGAGTATTATGCTAAGTGAAATAAGCCAGTCAGAGAAAGATAAATGCCATATGATCTCACTTATATGTGGAATCTAATGAACAAAATAAGCTGTTGAACAAAATAGGACCATAGGCAGGGTACATGGAAAAGACTGGCAGATCTCAAAGTGGAGGGTGGGGGTGGGGACTGGAAGAAATTAACCTAAGAACATACATGCTTAGCCCATTGACACAGACAACAATGTGATGAAGGCTGATGGGAGGTGGGCAAAAAGGGGAGACAGACAAAGGTGGGGGGAAACGGGGACACCTGTAATAGTGTCAACAATTTAAAAAAAAACAATAGTATTTTAATAGCAAACACAGGAAAAACCTCCAACCTTGCTAAATTTTTTAAAATATATTTTTTATCACTAGCCAGTTTTGCTCAGTGGGTAGAGCATCAACTGCAGAGTGAAGGGTCCCAGGTTTGATTCCTGTCAAGGGCACATGCCCAGGGTATGAGCATGCAGGAGGCAGCTGATCAATGATTCTCATCATTGATGTTTCCCTCTTCCTTCCTCTCTGAAATCAATAAAAATATATTTAATAAATAAATAAGGCAACATGAATACTATCCTATTTCTTTTTAAAAGTATATATATATATATATGTGTGTGTAGGAAGGGAGAGGGAGAGAGAGATGGAAACATCAATGATGAGAGAGAATCCCTGATTGGCTGCCTCCTGCACACCCCCTGCTAGGGATCGAGCCTGCAACCCTGCATGTGCCCTTGGCTGGAATAGGAAGGAAGATAGGAAGATAGATCAGTGATGAGAATCATTGATTAGCTGCCTCTTGGACGCCCCATACTGGGAATTGAGCCTGTAACCTGGGCATTTGCCCTAACCTGGAATCAAACCATGACCTCCTGGTTCGTAGGTAGATAGATGCTCAACCACTGAGCCACTCTGGCTGGGCCAACCTTGCTAATTAAATGGAAACTAAAATAAATGTTTGTTGAGCTCATCTTGTGCTTAGGAAATTGGGGAAATAGTGTTCAGGGATGGTGAACTTGCTTTGTAACTAACTGGTGGTATTCTCTTTCATAGTTGCCACTATCCTATCTAATAATAGACAAAGATTGAAATTGACCATACCTTTGCTACGCCTCCCATTGGCTAATCAGCGAGATACGCAAATTAACCAACAAAGACACGGTTAATTTGCGTACGTAGGCTCGAAGTGGCAGAGCGAAGACTGAAGGCAGCTCCAGCGGAGAGGCTTGAAGGCGCCTTGGCTGCCGGGTGCCGGAGGAAAACCGGTGCCGGCAGCCAGGGGACGGGAAGGCCTATTGCACGAATCTTTTCGTGCAGCAGGCCTCTAGTATATAATAGGATGATGAATCCTAATCTTGGTATTTTATACCAAGTAAATAAGTTAGCCTAAGTAGAAACCTACATACTAAGATGTTGATTATGGTGTTAATTCTTTTTAAAAAGTAGAAACAGGCTGAGTTTTTAAAAAAGGAAGGGAAAGGAAACTAGTTTTAATAAAAGTTATGCTCCAGCTCTGCCTGTTGTATTGTACAACCATTTAAAAAGGTAGCCCAGCCAGTCTGGCTCAGTGGATAGAGTGTCGGCCTGCAGACCAAAGGGCCCCAGGTTCAATTCCAGTCAAGGGCACATGCCTGGGTTGTGGGCTTGGTCCAAAATGCAAGAGGCAGCCAATCAGTGATTCCCTCTCATCATTGATGTTTCTTTCTCTCTATTCCTCTCCCTTTCTCTGTGAGATTAATAAAAATATATTTTAAAAATAAATAAAAATAATGAAAAAGATAATTCAGTGTAGCTCAGTGGTTGATTGTCGACCTATGAACCAGGAGGTCATGGTTCAATTCCTGGTTAAGACATATGCCCGGTTTGTGGGATTGATCCCCATTATGGGGCGGGCAGGAGGCAACAGCTCAGTGATTCTCTCCCGTCATTGATGTTTCTTTCCCTCTCCCTTCCTCTGAAATAAATAAATATATATTTTTAAAGGTAGTTGAGACTACACATAGTTCATGTGAAACAGTAAAGCAAAGAATAAAATATTCAGTATACTATGATTAAAACCATGTACAAATGATTTAAAAATATTTTTTTTCATTTCAGAGAGGAAGGGAGAGGGAGAGATAGAAACATCAATGAAAGAGAATCGTCCATCAGCTGCCTCCTTCAGGCCCCACACTGGGGACCTAGCCCACAACCCGGGCATGTGCCCTAAGAATTGAACCGTGATCTCCTGGTTCATAGGTCGACGCTCAAGCACTGAGCCATGCCGTCTGGACATGTACAAATGGATTTAGACAAGTTCTGGCAAATGTAAAAACCCATTTTATTTTAATTTTATTTTTTATGTGCCTCAGACATGAAACAGCTCTGGCCACTGACATAGGCATCAAGCTAGGATGAACTAAGGACTGTACATCTCCTTTGCCCCTGATTGATATAAGAGCAACGCCACCAATCAGGTGTCTCATTGCCAGGGATTCAATACCCATTTTAAAAAGTGGGAAGATTTTACAAAGTATAATATAAAATTACTTAAAATTGAATTATCTTTTTAGTTATGTTTTATATAGCATACATTATACTTGACCTTGTAAAAAGTCCATTTATTTTCATTCTAGGTGTTGTAGAATATTTGAGCACTGGTGGAGTAGAAACAAATCATAAAGACTTTAAGGAACTGAGATATAATGAAAGTCTTACGAACTTTAGCTGTAATGGGAAAAATGGGACAACCAATGGAAGGATCACTCATGGTTTCAAGTTAAAGAGTGCCTATGAGAGTGGCCTGATGCCTTACACCAATTACACGTTTGATTTCAAGGTGAGTTTTGAAATTAGTAAACTTGTAAAAACTTTATTTTTAAAGGAGAGTCTTATTACTTTGTCAAGTCTTTAAAATGTGAATATTTGTTCAGTTTAGGTCATCTTGAGTTGATTTACAGAAATATTCTAGATAACTTAGAATTATTTTCGGTGTAAGAAATCAGATGAAATAATAATAGTAAATCCTGAGTTAACTGTCTCATCCTTTGGGGTCAATTATGTTTCTTATAGACTCAGTGCAAAGCTGGATTTGCCATACCACAGGCCCTCAGATAACGTCATTTTTTTTCAACATCATTTCATTATAATGTTGATGAGATGCCATGGAAATGTAACTCTTGTATATATCAACTAGCCTCTGGTAAAATTAATTTCATTCTCTGTTGTTTCGCTTAAAGTTGCAGAACCATTAGCCATTAAGTGAGGACTTACTATATCTAATTTGGTGTCAGTTGGGGTGAGGTGTTCCACCTCATGTTAATTAAACTGAAACCTACTCTTGAGTGCTAAAATGTGGTTTATTGTTGGCCATGTTGGCCATTTTTAAGTTGCTAAAATATCTATATCTATATCTATATCTATATATATATATATCTATATATATAGATATATATATAGATATATATAGATATATAGATATATAGATATATATATATATGCCTTATAGTTCTTAGAATTCATCTTCAATATGGATGAGATAGAAATAAATATCTTTTTACAACCACTGGTATACAGGTAGATATACAAGTCTGGAGCTCAGGGAAGTTGTCATAAAAAGATATGTGAATTTAGGAATCATTTGCTTAAAAAATGATTTCTAAAGCTTAAAACTGACTAGGATCACATAGGAGGAAAATATAGCCAGACAAGTGATCTACAAACTCAGCACTGGGGTGCTAGAGTTGGGGAAGAGGAAGAAGCATATTCTTACTTCAGAAGCTTGATTGAAGAAGTGCTGGTAATAACTCAAAGGTGGGCGAGATTAGGGATTTTTTTTTCTTCGTTCGTGCTAGTGATGTAGAGATAGGAAGGAGACCTTTGAATATATTTAAATATTTTTGGCCAAGAACATGTAGAGGAGCAAGTGAAAAACCAAGAGGTGCTTAGCTGTGTGCCTGGCGCTGCAGGACGTGCAGGGCGGGACAGCTGGTCTCAGCCACATGAGTAGGTATGCAGTAGGGCACACATCAGCAGGGGAAGAGAAGCGGAGGTGGTGGGAGGACCAGTGAGCCCTGAAGATCTTTGGAAAGTGATTGAGGTCCACACTTGAAGGCTGAGAAGGATTAACCAGAGACAAGTAGAAGAAAGTGTTCGGGCAGGGAGTGCAGCGTGTGTGAAAACTGTGGGGCTGGGAAGAGACGGGCACATGCAAAGAATGTTTATCCCCCTCCCCCCTCAAAAATAAAGAGCTAGTCTGGCAAAGGGGTAGCGAGGAAAGAGAAGCAGAAGCCATATCACGAAAGATGCTTTATGTCTTATTAAAAATTTTGAAAGGATCCAGGTAGGAAAATGAATGGTTGCCATGCTAAACAGTCTTCATTCTGCAAGGTTTGACATTTAGGGGACCATTTGGCTCAGGTGGTACTGCCTCTTCCCACATGCTAATGAAGTTTTTACAAAACATGCCTGAAAGGGTATGTCTTGAGATCTTTCGGTATTTCCGTGTTATCTTATTTTTTTTATTTCCTTCTGATTTTTCAGGGTATAATTGACTACATCTTCTATTCTAAGCCTCAGCTGAACACATTAGGCATTCTGGGACCTCTGGACCACCATTGGCTAGTTGAGAATAATATCAGCGGCTGCCCACACCCACTCATCCCCTCCGACCACTTCTCACTTTTTGCACAACTGGAGCTCTTACTGCCTTTCCTGCCCCAAGTTAACGGCATTCACCTTCCTGGCAGGAGGTAGTCAAGTACCTTCAGAAGACGACCTCAATTTCACTTGTAAACTTAGAAGAAAATCTGAATATCGGGGAGTGAGATATGGCCATTAGGGATTTTTTTTTTCTTAATGATGATTTGAGTTTTCTATCTGATTATTTGATAAGGATATAGTGTGAAAGCCAGGTGCTAGCAACAGACAAATTCTGAGCCCAATATGCTTTATACACTGTTGGACAGGGATTGGTGTGTTTGCACCTATCTTTTCATTTGTTACCAGTAATTTTCCTGTTTCTTCTATCCAATATAATATTTTCACGCCTTGAAATAGGAAAATGTTTGACAGCATATTCTCTTTGCACAGAAATCAGTAGTACTACTTTTTTGAGGCCAGTAATAACATCCAGAGAACATTCTTCCATACTTGACTCCCTTCTTTTTCAGACATATTTGTAAAATACAGAATTTGAATTTAGCCTTTATGATTGTATATGATCCACAGAAGACCTGATTTATGAAATTTTGTACTAAAAAAATCAGATTTGGAAATGATTGTATTGTAAATTAAGGCTGAGTTTTTGTTTTGTGTGTGTTTTTTACACCGGTTTCATGTGTTATAAAGGCCAGCTTGTAAAAGAAGCTGCAACAGACTTTCTCTGCAGAGGAGTTGCGCTGTTAGGGTTTTCTTGGCTATTTTGTGCTACTTTGTTATTAAATGGAGAACCTTACTCTTTAAACCTATTTAATGCTTAGGACATTTTTTCATGAATTCTGGGTTTTTACAAAAACTATCTACCAGGACAGATAAGCTGAGCAGTGGTGATCTGTAGGCATTTATGGACTGAATGTAATGATATATGTACATTCTGATATTTTTAAATCTTTAACTGTTTTTAAGTTAAAAAATTACAGCTGCTTAGGTACAGCTTTTTAACTCCTTTTTGAGACGCCTCCTGTCTATCTCCACTGTGCCTGCCTCAGTTGTTCTGACCAAACACTGCCCGTGCATGCAGAGAAAATCTGTGCATCTTCTTTTATGGTTTTAAATACTGTTGAACATTTGTGAGGGTTTTATGGACATGCTTTTGTATGAGCTGTGACTTTTTCCCATTGTAAAGCATTGAATATCACATTTTGGACATAGGGTGAACCCCTGGGTCTTCGCTCACCAGACCCAAGCACTGCTTCTTGGTGTCATTGCACAGTGCTGTCACCCAGGATACTACTATCATGTGAAATCTTTTTGTTTTCCATGTATTCCTTAGTCTCCATGTTTTTCTTTTAAAAAATCATTCCTTTTTTTTTTTAATAATTTTCCGTTTATGAAACAGTATAAATGAGATGTATTTTCAAAACTGGTCCTTAAGACAATTCTTCAGATCATTTTTGAAGTGACTAAGCTATTTTAATATGTCAACCAAGATAAAAGTTATATTGTACCCTGTGTATTTGCCCATAGTGCCGTTAGTAGATAAGAGATTAAAGCTAGCTTTAATTTTGCAAAGTTAACTCATATGTATTCTGGTCTCATTCATTTATTATCATCTCAAAACTAAAATTAATTCAGAGGGAACTTGGTCCAACTGCTTTTGTTTCAACTGCAGGCAAGGGAGGAAAAGAACACCATGTGAGCAGTAGGGTGAAAAATTGTTCAGTGATAACAATTTTTACACAGAGAATGAGTCATTTTGGATGATGGCTTAAAATTTTATGAAAAAATGTTCAACATATAAATGTGCTTATTCTGTTTTTAAGAGAAAATAAAATTTACACACTGCTTAAATAAATTTTTTTTCTTTTAAAAAAATTCTCCAAAAGCTGTTGGTTGATCTTGAATTTTTGTCTGGGACCTAGTTTCTTCTTTGAGGTTTTTTTAAAGATTTTGTTGTGATGGATTTTTTTATTTTTATTTTTTGTTTAAGTTGTGCTGACACCAAACACATTCAGTTTATAATCAATACATTGAAAAGTTGGTATTATTGATTTAGAACCAATGCATAACTTTTTATGGGGGTTTTGTTTTATTTTTTTGTAAAGTGTGAATAAAGGTGTGTTTACTCATTTTTCCTAAACACTGTGTTGGTAATGTGCATCATGACAATTTCCAGAGAAGGTGATCTGGAGCTGGTTGGACTGATGAAACAAAGGAAACTTCTTTTCCTCTGACCTGCATTATGTAATAACAGGTCCAGAGAGCTTTATGGAAGGGGGAGGGGAGCGGCACTTACTCATTTTGTATTTGTTAATGGAGGATGTATTCTTTTCATAGATGCTGGAACTAGAGTGCACTTGTTAGAAGCTAAAGGTTTGAGCTTTACAGAAAATGTCTTCATCTGTATTTGTTATTGTTATAATATATTTGAATGGGGGGGGGCAGGATAGTATTAACATTGTTGATTCAATGGCCTGTTATGTCTTGAAAATATTTGTCCTTGCCTCTTCTAGGCATACTGCATTCTGTGGGGTCAGTTTGAACAGCTTCTCCACCTTATTGAGATAGTGATGAATTGATCCAAGAGTGTAGATTTACAGCTATAACCTTCAAAAGAAAAAGAAATATCTTGAATCTATAGGAAATCAACAGTCACACCAAAATAGACTGTGATACCTCTGTTAAGCAAGGTTCTGTGTTTTAAATATTTCTGTGTCCTGAGTAATTTTCAGTCTATACTCTCTAAAATGCAATAAAAACTAGTATGTTTTCACAGTATAGATTTTTTTCCCCAGAAATTCTGTAACAAATACATTTAATGTGGTGTTGCCATAATGTAATTTCGTTGTTCTTGCTGGATAAATTCATGTTGTGAATGTTTTACAGAAAACTTGGACTATGTTTTCTGTTTTAATGATCAGAAAGTTGGAGGCATTCAATTCCTGTTGTAAATCTCCTGAAGTACAGTTAACCATATTAGTGGTAATTATTTATGCTTTGAGAATTTAAATTATGTTCATTAAAATTAATTTATGGCATAATTTAAACTAAAGTTGTAGATATGAAATGTTGATTGCAACTTTAATCACCCTAGAAGATAGTCAGGGAACATCTCCCAAGAAATGTGTTTTTATTTTTACCTGATTTAATGACAGCCAGGAAAGCTTATTTGAGTTAGCACTTTGAAACCTAAGGACATTATTAATAGGGTGGAATGCACTTCTAAATGTTAAAATTAAAATTTCAAAACTCTCCCAATATGCAGGTTTTCAATAATAAATCCCAGTTTTAGTATTCCACTTTTTACTATTTGATGTCATAGGGTTTGTTTCCATGGTGATTTCTGAGGTTTTGGGGTCATGACAGAAGAACAAAGCCAATCTGGGCAAGAGAACGGCAGCCGCTTGTTCTTTAATGAACCACCCTGAGGGCGCAGAGCAGACGCTGCGGATCATCAGAGAACACTCAGCAAGCGTCTCTCTCCCACTCAGAACAGGTTTTCAGGAAGTTCACTTTGCTCTGCTCTTTGGTTACATACGTTTTAATAACTGGTATGTTGAAGTAGTATCTGAAATAGAGTATCTAGTTTTTATTCACAGTACATTCTATTGTGTGATGCACTGGGCTAACTTTGGTTTATTTACCATTCATGTAACAGAACCCAGCACATTATCTGCACTAAGCTCAAAGAATGTTTGCCTAGGCAGCTCTTTGATAAGGGTAATGGGAAACTGAATATGTACCTATGGACCAGAGGTAACAAGGGCTTTTACTGTTCTTTTCAGTGGAACCTTCTTGGTCAAATTGTAACTAGCTAGTATTATATTTATATACAGGGTCTCTTTTCTTTACCGATGTATTTTCCTACTTATAGCCGACCAATAAATTCAGTATTTGTTTCAAATATTTTAAAAGTGTAATTTGTATAGCTGTAGTACTGAGGTTTGAGAAAATAAGTGTTAATCAGCAGACCACATATTTAAAATTCTGAGTAATCTGGGACAGGGTTATAACTCACCCTTTGAAAGGGAAGAGTGATGGGGGACAGCCCATGATTCTGTAGAAATGGTATAAACTTAAGGATTTCTTTAATGGCTGTATTATTCTGTTAAAATTCATATCTTTGCCAAAGTTCAGTTTTAGGCAACTAACAATCCTTTGCATTGAGGATTGTTGTTGTTACCATATACCTCATAATGACTTCGTATGTCTTCCATCTTTTGGAAGGAGATTGACATATTTTAAATAAATATTTTTAAATATAGCCGCAAACGTTGTGTTGGTGGGGTTGTACTAATTCATTAAATGTTTTACTTGTTACATGTATGTTTTGTTGTATATAACTTTTAAAATGTGTGACTTCCCAAGTCTTCAGGACATTAACTACATTTGCTTTTTAGAAACTACTTCTATAACAAATAAATGTAAATTTTTATGTAGATATTGGAAAAATCATTTAAAATCAGGAAACAATTTAGATAAAAACAATGTTTTGCTGAGATGTCCAGTTTTTAAAGTAGGTGTTTTCTACCAATATTTTAATATATAATTTTACTTCTATCTATAACAGAAGTCATATTCCTTCTTATAACTTATAACTTAAAAATGTGTAAAAAAGTTAATGATGTATGTTCATATTACTTTATAAATTCTAGTTAATGTTCTTTAGAGGAACAAGTACATGAGGAAACATGAACTGGAATACATTTAAATAAAGTTTTCAGGTTTTAGGTAATGATGTTATATATACTGAGAATTTCCTTGTATTTAGATACTCAAATCTAAGTTAATTTTAAAAATAAACTCTCACAAATACTGTAAAGACAATTTTAGTATAAGGTTATATATTAGGAGAATCTTAAAGATAGTTTTTACTAGAATTTTACAAGAATGTTAAGAAATTTCTGGAAGTTCATTTCCTCTAAATAATAAAATACAAAATGGGCTACGTAGATCATTCCCCAAATGAGTCTAACAAACTAGTCTAAAGCTAGGAATTGGGAAAACTGCTGAATTGCAAGGTGTCTTGAAAACCAGTTTCTACAGTTTCCTTAGCAACATTAGCATGTTTAATCAAATGAGTAAGATGTCAGTTTGCTCATTTTCTTTGAACTGCAAACTTCGAGACACTCTAATCTACTTGAAAGCATATTAAATTATCTTGAGCCTGTCAGGGGAAACTTTGCTCTCTACACCAGTGTGACTGGAGGTGGCCTCGAGCTCTTAATGTCCAAACTTCAGCCTTCCTAGCATGTGAGTCTGAGCTGCAGGTCCTGAGGCGCTGACTTAGCACCGCTGCTTCATTAGTTAACCGTTTCTCACAGCCAACCCTGCAGCCCTGCTGGTTTCAGTGTTCCCCCTTCATGCCAATCCTGCTAATGCTGTTTGTTTCCAAAGTTGATGTGATTCTTCAGACCTGGTCCGTGAACTGATGGTGTGACCAAAGCCAGTTAAGAGAAATCTACAAAATACTGGACTTATTTTCTGTTTATTATTCACACCGAGGCAGATGGCTATATCTCAGGCAGCGGTATAGGAAATGTGTGCAGCTGGGAATGGAGTGGATTTCTGGTGGGGAGCGCAGTAGAGTGGCTGGGACACAGTGAGTGGTGCCTTTTGAACCTTGAACCATATACTGAGGTTCAAACTTCATCCTGTAGGTGGTGGTAAAGAGCCATACAGGGTTTTAAATGCAAGTCACACTACCAGGTTTGTATTTTAGAAAGGTCACTAACAGCACTATGGAAGATGGAGTAAAAGAAGACCATTTAACTGGTTTCTGACATGCTTCAGTTGACAGAAGATAAACTGAGGACCGCTTACAGGGCAGTAAGCTGAAATGTTTAGGAAATCCTATATAATAAAAGGCTTATGTGCAAATAGACTGAACGGCAGGACAACCAGTTGCTATGATGTGTACTGGCCACCAGGGGGGCAGACGCTCGATGCAGGAGTTGCCCCTGGTGGACAGTGTGCTCCCACAGGGGGAGCACCACTCGGCCAGAAGCCTGGATCACAGCTGTCACGTGCAGTGGTGGTGGCGGGAGACTTTCCCGCCTTCGCAGCAGCACTAAGAGATGCCTTAGTGACGGCACCTAAGCCATCAGTTGGACATTCCCCCAAGGGCCTCCCCCCACACACACACACCCTCCAGTGCATGAATTTTGTGCACCGGGCCACTAGTAGAATCAGTAAGAATCTTTATTCCTGCCTTATTCATTGTGTGAGAAAAGACGAGTGAGTTTTGTTCGGTCACTCGTCTCCATTAGGCAGATCCTGACTCAACATCTCTCATGTCTTTACCAGCAAGGCTTTAGTTTTTCCTTAACTGAGCTGACTAAAACATTTGAATGAAGAATTTTGTTTCTTGGGTTACATTAATTTCCCATTATTTTTCATTCAAATTTTAGTCTGCGAAGGAGATCCAGTATGCCACTACTAAACAGTTGAATAAATCCAGAAAATAATAAAAGAACATTTGATGCCAATATAATTGTTCTAGCTTGTTTTTCTTCTAGACTCTCATATTCTTGATAATGGTTTCAGTGTAAAAAGACTGCATTAGAGGGTACTTTAATAAAGCAACACACACAAAAAAGACCCACCCTGACCAGTTTGGCTCAGTGGCTAGAGCAGGGGTGGGCAAATTTTTTGACTCGAGGGCCACAGTGGGTTCTTAAACTGGATCGGAGGGCCAGAACAAAAGCATGGATGGAGTGTGTGTAAACTAATATAAATTCAAAGTAAACATCATTACATAAAAGGGTATGGTATTTTTTTTTTTTTTTTTTTTTTTTTTTAGTTTTATTCATTTCAAACGGGCTGGATCAGGCCCGCGCTCTGTAGTTTGCCCACGGCTGGGCTAGAGTGTCGGCCTATGGACTGAAGAGTCCCAGGTTCAATTCTGGTCAAGGGCATGTGCCTTGGTTGCGGGCACATCCCCAGTAGGGGGTGTGCAGGAGGCAGCTGATTGATGTTTCTCTCTCATCGATGTTTCTGACCCTCTATCCCTCTCCCTTCCTCTCTGTAAAAAATAAAACATATTAAAAAATAAAATAAAGACCCAAGAATTATAAAAGCAGTAAGTTTCCGTCATGTAACAGATTAGACTGTGGTGTTCAATATGGTAACTTTTGCCACAAATGGATTTTGAGTACTTGAAATACAGCTAGCATGACTGGAACTTGTTTTTCTGTTAAATGAAACATTGTTTTGATAGGACTGTATTTCCCTTTATCTGTTGCATTCTGTAAAATACAGAATGCGTGTATTATTTACTAGCATATTGTGCCTAGACATCACCAGTTGGTGTCAAATAATTGATTCCATTCTAACGTGTTACTTATCAAAGTGACATTATAATCCGTTAGGTGGATACTGTATGCAAATAGCGTGAGTTACCTGCCTGTATAAGGTGAGTGTGCACGAATTATAAACTAAAAGTCATTGCTGATACAGAACTGAGTGAACACAACTGGAAAAGTCCGGAAGGCATATTACAAATTCCACGATGAAAGACGCGGGCAGTTTGTGGCACCAGGACAAAAGAAAAAAGTGAATATTTTCTCAAAAAAGAATAGACGAAATTAATTACCTGAAATGTCCAACAAAGTTTTTAAACAATTTATAACAAGCTATGAGCTTGTATATTTGGCTTGTATTTCCTCACAGAAAAAACTAATGGACATGCTTTTTAAAAGTATTATGGAAATTGTTTTGGAAAAGTTTAAAAATATTTAACAAAAGTGAAATTTTTTTCTGGTAAGCCTACAGTTACCTATAGAGTACAAGACCTAATACTACCAAAGATCAATTGACTCAATTTTGAAAAATTGAAAGTACTTGTTATCTTTAGGTGAGTTCTGTGATATAAAAGACACTGTCCAGTTAGTACTTGGTGAACACTTGCTGTATCTTAAAGGACTTCCAATTTTACAAAGAAACATGAATTCTGACCCTGATATAATCTAAAAACTTAGGACGGGTATTTTTTATCTTTCACATCTGCCAAAGAATTTCTGCTGAATACGGAAAAGATAGTTGCAGTGCAGATAGTGCTTTAGCTATTGGGTTGAAAGACTGGATTTACTGGAATTTTTAAAGGAGCCTAGATTTCCCTTGCTTACTTTTGTTTTGCGTTAGTTAACTCTGTGGTGCTTATTGAAAATAGCTGCACTCGGTTTTCTGGAATATACTCTTTGGACAGTGTTGTTAAAATTGTTCAGTAAAAGCAAGGGAGCCCTAACTGGTTTGGCTCAGTGGATAGAGCATCGGCCTGCGGACCGAAGGGTCCCAGGTTCAATTCCAGTCAAGGGCATGTACCTTGGTTGTGGGCACATCCCCAGTAGGGGTTGTGCAGAAGGCAGCTGATCGATGTTTCTCTCTCATCGATGTTTCTAACTCTCCCTCTCCCTTCCTCTCTGTAAAAAATCAATAAAATATTTTTTAAAAAAAAAATCCAGGGAAATCTCCCGGATTGGATAAAAAGTAAAATGGAGAGATACTTTTTACATTGGTGCGTACAGAACAGTTTAGTAATTAACTTTTACAACACAGAGGTGGTATGAGGGGAACAGGATAATGTAGTCGCTGCTCTGGTCGCTACTTAAGGTCAAGATTGACCTTTGCCAAGGAAGTTACAGGTGAAGGACTTGACTACCACTTGCTTTTAATTAAGGAATTTTTATATTCAGACCATTCTATGTGGCTACTTTCAGTTGCTGAGTTTGTAAAGCCTGCCATGTAGGCCTCCTCTGAGTTCCACAGGTTTAGTAAGTGGCCACTTCTTCGTCCACAATTCCAATTTAAGATTATCTTGCAACAAAAGGAATACTTGCCAAATATTCAGTAATCAAAGGCAAACTTGTCAGTGTGAGAACATTTTCTCACTGATGTGTCACTGCA